GGTAGATGTATGCCAGGCGCGTCGCAGCGCAACAGTGTTTCGTGAGATATCGCGAAGCCTGTTACGCGAGACGTGGGCTGGCGTACATCTACCTAGTTTATTTATGCAGGACATGTTTTTGTGTGGTACTGGAAGGCACTGCACAGCAGAAGCAGACGAGTTCAGTTATGGTTACCCTCCTATTGTGGTGATGAAATCTGATAGTGGTAATTCGCACTACACACAATCATAAGTGTTGTCATGGTTCGCGAATATTTGAATCGGCTACCTGTTCTCGGTGTTTGTCGAACACTACGAAATGAACTTCACAACGTGTGTCAAATGGATATGCCTCTCCTGGGCAAGTGTCTTCGAGAGGACTGCTTAACCTAGACAACATGCTTGACCCGGCACAAGATACTGTGAGTGCTCCACTTCACAACACTAGCCATTCCCTCTAGGGGCCTCTTAAATGCATTTGGTTTAGTGAACAATGGTGATTCATCATTCACAGAATGTCTAGTCAAGTCTAACTACACTCACTGTTAGTATCTTGACAAATGTAGTTTAGAAAGTCTTTAGGAAGTCCTTTTGTGAAGCTATACACCTGGACTTATGTTCCTCTGTCAAATCTTGTTAGTGGACTTATGTTCCTTTGTCAAGCTACACCTGGACTTATGTTCCTTTGTCAGATCCCACTGATGGACTTACGTTCCTTTGTGAAGCTACCTGGACTTACGTTATTCCTTTGTCAGAACCCACTAGTGGACTTACGTTCCTCTGTCAGATCCCACTGGTGGACTTACGTTCCTTTGGCAGCTCATGCATCGACTAACGTTCCTTTGTCAGAACTGTAGTGGACTTACGTCCCTTTGTGACTTTTCATACAGACCAAACGGTTCAAGATATCAACATGCCGTTTGGCTGGCATGAATATTACCATGTACACATCATTTCGCACCCAAAAAGTGAAAATCACCCAGAGGTGGACTTACGTTCCTTTGTCATATCATCAGTGAGTTGTAACTTTAGGAAATGTTTCGTAAATCAGCACTTTCGAAATATTTTCGTAATTTTTTTCTACAAAGCAGTTCCTAACGTTTTTTCGTAAAATCACGAAAACGTTTAACAGTAATTGAGCTCATAAGGGTACGGTCAAATCCGGGAAAAATGGGACACCTCCGAATTGGGAAGGAAGACTTCGCTCTTCTTAATTGGTTGGCATGCATATTTGGGAGCTTATAATCTAATTTATCTTTTTACATTTGACCTTAATTACTTACCGGTTCTGGGCAGTTGAATCGCTTGTTCCCGTTACGAAACATAATGAGAAGCCTGTCCAACCCGAGGGGGTAATGACTACTACAACGCTTGTACAGAGTACTCGGTATTACACCGAATAACGTGGTATTACCGGGTATAACGCCGGCATTACACGAAATTTTTTGCAATTTTTTTGCATGTTTTGTTATCTTTTCGGTATTATATGACAATACCGCGTAATACCCACGTGGGTTGTACAGGGTATTACGGGAGTGAATACCCCCTCGGTCCAACCGCTTATACGCAAAGGCCTCCATTTTTTTTGGCCAGGGGTGTTACATATCTCCTGGAAGTATGCTTTCAGCACGGTAAAAACAAGCGCTGGGAATTCCAGGAGTTTTTGCCCTTTCCCAGGGGAGTTGAAAGAGTCCCAGCAGATCTCCTGGAAATATCGCATTTTTTCCGGGAGGGACCCTAGGATTTGAAAAT